CCCTTAAACAGACCAAAATCAAATGGCTAGGTCGAGACGGTAAAGAAAAAAACATAAAATTAGGATATCTGACGTCAGCCAGTCTTCAAAAGGGACTTTAAACAGGGTTAGGATTGGCTGACGTCAGATAACAATAATTGTAGCAATTGTTAGGGAACTCACTTGCTATTCCTAATTTTATGGCAATACTTTTTGGTTCGGTTTCTTATATAATCAATTGGTATTTGAAAAGGCCATTTCGAAGTAACAGATTTTCTAATGAGTGAAAATGAGTAACGTTACTGAATAAATTAAAAATTTTTAAAAAAAATTACGTTGATTTCTGATTTCCTCAAATTTTTTATCCTCTGTTTGAATTATATATTTCGAAAAATTACGCATGTCCGTTTGCATAGTTATGTTGACTTCTCAATAAAAAACATGCCGATTTTTTCTTGACAATTGCTTGAAAAGGTTAAATATTCTACAAAAGTCCAATCACCAAAGATATAACAATTTTTAAATAGTTTTCTTCTATCGCTTCTTCTGAATTTTCACAAATCGGAGATATTGCTGCTAATTTTTGCCTATCAGGAATTTTGGTTGTCGGTTGATGTGCTTCATCATCGAATGCATAGGATGGCATGGGTTTCTGGACATCATCTGATAAGTCTTTGTGGTTTTCCATTCGGGACTCTTGCTTTCCTGACTTTTGATGAGCTCAAAGTGTTTCGTATAGACTTCATCGAGATATCTAAACTGGTTAATGTCCGTTTCAATTTGGTTATCAATTTGGTTATTCGATAGTATTTGGTTTATTTTGCAGTATTACTGCAGTTTTTTTGTTGAGATTTTTCAAATGTTCAAAAATTGACTGCAGTATTATATGTTGCCAACTTTTTTCATGACCAATTCAATTGTTTCGTTCTCCTTGGACCAATTTTACCATATTTTCAACAAAATGATTCTTTCGCTTCCAACAATTTTCTCAATGTTTCGAGTTTTTCATCAACTTTGACATAAGAACTATCGACTTATTGTTACTAAATGATATCTATGTTTTGTTAGTTTGGCAATGTAACACTCGAAAACATTTCTTACCGGTTTTTTTACGTTCGACAACCCGTTTATTTTGATGTAGCACACGGCTTTTTATGGATTTTTTCAAGAAAATTTCTGATGGCTTGATAATCAGCGTTACATAAACTTCTAAAATTTGCGTGGTTGATTTGGCTCGAATTACTGTACAATGCATAGATAGATGCATAGTTTGATACTCGGCAGAGTTAAAAATGTCCAAATTGACAAATCAACCCGACTGAAAAAAATCCGAGAGAAGACTAGATCCAAGATATGAAACAAGCACGCTGGAAAAACAATCAATGGTCTAGGCAACTGTTATTCGAACATCTCAACTATATGAACTTCAGTGTCAATAGGACTTGTCAGACTGTTCCACCTTGCCTTATAACAATTTTTATTGTCACTGTATATCACAGCTCGATTCTTTATGGGTTGTCTATAAGGAGCTTACAGAAGTTCTCTATGTACTATTTAAAAGTGGGTTATAGAAGGCACAAGTAAAATCTTTTTTTGCTGAACTTTTTTTTACTGTTTGTTAAACTTGGCCTGGAATCAGTGTCTGTTTAATTGCAACAAGACCATCATCATGTAGTTTTTGCCTCCATTGATGACTCCTCTACTCGTGCAGATGTTGTAGCCAATTAAAAAAGGGTCCCAATGTGTATTTAATCAAATTTAGCCAGATTTCACATTAATAAATGACGTTGTTTTTAGAACTGATGAACAGCAATTGCAAATTTTGATCTTCCTTCAATGTTTAGTAGAAACTTCAGTTTAGTAAAATTTAAGAAACATAGTCAATTTCATTCAGCATTTTTCTAATGTACCTCATTTGGTCTGTATCATAAAATTTTTCAAATTCAAATTTTCACTCTGTCCTTTGTGACTCCTCCATGTGTTAGTTCTCATTAATCTTAGGTTATAATTCTTTTTTACTGCCACATCCCTAGTGGGGTTTGGTAGAATTAAGACTTTCTCTGAAATTTTGTTAGGTTAAACCTAGCCTCATCATCGTTTGCTATAGTAACTAGTAGTGATATTAGTTTTTTGTCAGTTTTTTTTAAATTTTAGACACTTTTTATTCTTGATTTTAGGTCGATCGGCTCTGAATTTTCTAAATCGCTGGAATTAAGTTACTTGAAAGTTAGCTCCAAGCAAATCAAGTACATCTTTCACTTCATTGTTCGCTGGAACAAGATTTTTGATTATTAATTTGTTTGCGTCCACTGGGTTTATCTATAAACTGATGTTCTTGTTGATAGTCTGATTTTTAGGTTTTCTGCCAGTTTTCTACCAATTATCTGCACAAGTTTACTCCTTTTTTTCGGAATAAATTGTATAGAATTTCTTACCTTTTCATCTACAAACCCGATTACACATGAAAGTATGTCGTTTGTTTTTGTCCACGCCTTGATTGCACAGGAGTTTTAATTGCCATTGCAAGATCTGCATTGCCCCTGATTGCAGCAGATGAGAAGCTGTGCAATCGGTCAACAGATATATATTACACTTGTACAATTCTAAGTGGTTCATCTTGCAATTCTGGGCTTTTATCTTTTCTTTCACAAATTTTACCCAAGATATTAGACTTGTTTCTCATCCTTACCAGTTGTTTCAATCACAAGCCACTCCACAAAATTTTGAAAGCCTCATTTTAGAATGATATAATTGAGTGTTTGTTTATCGTAGCTCGCGCTTCTTTTCCTTGTTTTGATGAACTGGGTTTAGACTTGTTTATGGTTTAATCCGGACCAAAAACAACTAATCAGTTGTAGCTTCATAAAACTTTACAATTTCAGTTTAATTTGAAGAAGCTAATTTTAGATCATAACGCGGCGCTTTGAGAGTACACATTTGGTGAAGGATAAGAAAATTGTCAACCTCCCAGTTTATCACAACCACCATTTGCCCCCCCCCCCCCCCACCCCTTACGGTTGAACAGGCGGGGGAATTATCTTTTGTAGAGTTGCTTGAGACATAGTATTTAACGAACGTCATGGCATTTATTATGCAAATTTCAAAATAATTGAGTTTACGTTTAAATAAAATTTATTATAGTTGATTATCATGGTTTATAATGGACTTTTATTTCAAAAATAATCAATTATAATGGATTATCTTTGCTAAGATAGTCAATTTGAGTGAAGGGGGGGTTAAAGGGGGGTAAGCTGAGGGGGTGTAAACGGGCGGTTGTGGTAAATTGTGGTAACGGGTGAATGGCGGTTGTAGTAAACTGACAGGGAGGTGGGTGGGGGGAGGGGGGGGGTGGTGTAAACGAGGGGGGGGGGGGGTGTAAACGAGGGGGGGGGGGGGTGTAAACGGGGGGATGTAAACGGGGGGGGGGTGTAAACAGGGAGGAAAACGGGAGGGGGATGTAAACAGGGAGGAAAACAGGGGGAATAGGGAAGGGGTAAACGGGGTATATAAGACCAAATTATAAAGATTGAAAAGTGAAATGCAACATTTCATGAAGCCTAAAAACCCCCCTCCAGCTTACACCCCCCCCCCTCCAGCTTACCCATCCTCCCAGTTTACCCCACCACTTTAGTTGGAGGGGGGGGGGGGGGTAAAACGCAGGGATGACGTTGAGACATGGCATTTAGTAAAATACATGGCAAAATTTTGCAAATGCAAAATTTGCAAAACTTTGCAAAAAGAATTGAATTTAGTTGTTAAAATTAAATGGATTATAATCGATTATAATGGATTATAGGTGATTTTTAGTTCAAAAATAATCGATTATAATGGATTATCTTGGCAAAAAAAATCGATTTCAATGACAAAAATAATGGATTATAATCGAATATAACGGATTATAATGGATTATTTTTGTTCAAAAATAATCGATTATAATGGCAATATAATCAATTTTGTGGTCTGAATTTTACATCTTTAATGAATTATAATGGATTATTTTTGTCTCGGGAATCCATTATAATCGATTAGAATCCATGGGCGCTCGATGCGGGCGAACTGTACATTTTGTGAATTGTAAACGGATTCCGCAACAAGGACGTTACCTTTGTTCTTCTTTTGTTTAACCCGACATAATTTTAACATATCTTTAAAAACTTGTCTCTGGAATTCAGGAACATACAGACACAAAATTGTGCGCCTATCCAGTGCACAGTTTGGCTCGTAATGACAGTTTCCGCAGTAAGAAGTCTTTCATTGAGAGAAAGTAGCAAAATCACTTCTATGCTCAAACAAACAATTTCGGAAGAATATTTGCGTGTTTTTTGTTATAATTGTGTTGCAGGCATAGTCTTCTTTAATAAATCAAGACCCAAAAAAATTCTATAGTTTCAACACCAGGGATCAAGTTCTTTATTTCTATGTTTTGTCCAGATAGCCTCAGTTTTAAAAAGTATTCTGCATTTCGTCCTGATATAAAATTTCGTTAAACTCAGTCGATACTCTGCAAAGTTGGTGTTAATCTACAAAAAAAAATGGTTGGTTATGCGAGGAAGCGATGGAAAAACCCAGCTTTCTAGCTATCAAAAAAGTTTATGAATTTTAGTTATAGTTCTTTGTGAAATGAATTACATTAATTTAGATGGAGCATCTCGACATGCTGTTTATCCGTGAGAATATGCCACCAAGCCAGAGTGTTTTCATATTTGAGAAAGTTATGATTATTGTGTTTTCGGACAAAACAAAAATATAGACCGAGTTTCAAAAGAAAGGTTTTATGGAAAGAAGCTGGTCATTCAGTTTTCAAAATATATTTATCAGAGAAGTTTTATAAAAAACTTTTCATGTGTGGAATTACATTGAATTGTATGAAAAAAATTTAAGTAAAAAGAATCCTTAGAAAGTTTTGATCAACCCGGGAATATTGATTAAGTTGGAATCTCAGCAAAAGTTTAACTAGATTTGGAGCAATTGACTAGAGCAACCTTGTTAATTTTTTGATTGACTTGAAAAACAAAAACAGGTTTATTAACAAATATCAATTGTATTTTAACAACGAGAGAGCTGTATCATCAAAAAGAAAGTGGAGGCTGGTTGCGGTGGTAGCGAAATGTGTATTTTAAGCGACGTATACCATCCTGTGTTTCTCGAACAGTTCGATGTCTCGTTCGATGTTCTTCAGCTGTGCTTCCAGTCTCTCTTTGGTGTGTTTGCGGTAGAGGTTGTCGCATACCACCGGCAGACACTGGTACTGCAACATCGCCTCCTCCCAGTTCTTCTTCAGTCCTTGCAGGATTTCGTGGTGCTCGTCTGCTGTGATTTGCTTCATGGCGCCTCTCCTAACAACAAAACAACAATAATATTTTACTTCTAATATCATTGTTAATTATTTTGCTTGTAAATATGATATTAAAGAGTCATATACTGTCAAATACCTCTCCTAGCAATAGATAAACAACAAACAGTAATAACTTTGAACTAGTACCATTATAAAATTTATTATAGTTAAGCTTTTAAAGAATACTATGCTTGATAGGGTCTTTTTTGGTGGCAAAAAAATGAACGCTCGGAAGTTTAGTCAGAAAAATGAGGGATTCGGGTCTACGATTGCTTATTTGCCTGACTTGATAATAGTCACAGCCCTTTTAAAAAATTTTTTTTACCTTAGTGTGTGGTCTGTGTAGCAGTAACCAATTTTTCAGGTAATTTTTTTTGTGAGTTTCAATCTACAAAAAATACAGACACATTTTCAGTATCTGTTTGGACGCACATATTGTGAATGCAACATTCAAGCACTCGCTATCATCATATTTTTCCTTCAATGATTTTGTTTGATTCAATGTTGTTGCTTTTGTTTGATTTTGTTTGCTTTTGAATGTTTATTTCAATTCTTTAGAAGAGAAGATCTAGATAGAGATTAATAGATATGACAGCTTTGTTTCAGATCTCTGTTTGACCTTTGGGTGGATCAGGAGTTGTTTGCAGTGCATGCATATACAATGACATCCGGGGTCACTGCAGATGGAAAGAGATGTATACTTTTTGAGCAGTTCGGCGAAACGAACCCTCCTGTAAATACCAGCGGAACATTTTCCAAAGATAGTTAGGCATTATCGTTAAAGTAAAATAGAGAAAGTTAGACATTTCAAGCTAATAAACGCAAAATTTGAAATGAACACAAAAAATTGAACAATTCATTCTTGAAATAAGGTCAAAATTGTTCAAGAATTGTTTTTTTTTCAGTATCACTAACAAAATTAAGAATTTATCACAAAACAACTGATAAGTGATGATATAAACTAAAAATGAGGACAATTTTATGATATCCGTTAAAGCGTCCAAACAGTTGAATTTTCAAGCTTGTTTTTTTTTCTTCGAGTACTGAAATCTTGATTGATATATATTTTTGGACACTCAGTCCTTCTGGCTTGAGCAATTGGAGAGATGGGGGGGGGGGGCGTTGTCCCACTTGCCGGAGGAACCGAATTCCCAAAAACCATATCAGCCCATTAGAATTCTGTATGCAACAATTCACCAGAAATATGTTTCAAAATCCGCCATTTTTGGACGACAGAGTTTAAAGGACGCTAATTGGCTGAAAACTTTTGAGCAATCAGTCCTTTTGACATGAGAGCATATTGTAACTTTAGAATACCACCCCCCCCTCCCCCCAATATCGGAATATTGTAACTTTGTACCTCATGTGTTCCTTGACGTATCCGTCGTACTCTTCCTGGGCTCTTTTCATCTCCTCCGCCCTCTTGACTATGTAGCCAGGAGTATTCCCGAAGTCCTAACACATACCAGAAAACACAATTTAAATTTAATGGTAAAATGTGGCCCCAAATAAATCCCTCAATTATGCTTCAATTAGCTCAAATATTTAACCAGCGGCCCATAGTTAACTGAAACTAAGTTGTCTTCGTGCAAAAACAACTGAAAAGTATATTTTTTATTGAAACTTTCATTGAAAAGTATAAAAAAAACAGAATTATTATTGCTAATACACATATTGTGACAAGATCTCCCAAAGATCAGTAAAACTTTTATTTTTGGAACAGATTATGGATCCAATAATAGAAATTTTGTCTTCCCCTCTTTCCCTCAATGTCAAGTTAATTCAGCCGAAATTCAGTTAGACTGGTTTCAATTGGCCGAGTTTCACTTAGCCGAATAGTTTACCTTCTTGTTTCTGTACTTGGGCACCAGTCCCGACTCCTCCAGCGGGAAGCTGTCGCCGTGTCTGGTGTCGGCCATGTTGGCTGCCGGCTTCTTGGGCACTGCCATGATGTTCTCCACGGCATTGGTGGTGATGAAGTTCTTGGTGCTCTGGATGCCCATCAGGGGGGGAGCATCCTTGGCCCGCGGCACGGAAGACTTCTTCGGTTCACCATCACTCGGGAAAGTAGTCTTGACAGCTGCAAAAATATTCACTTCAGATAGATGTTTTTTTTAAAATAAAATACAGTGTTTTTATTATCACCAAGGCTACAGAAGTTTATCACAAGGCTAAATTAATTTATAACAAATAATTGGACAAAGTTGTCAAATTCTTAAAAAACTCCCGGTTAGCTGAAAATTATACCAGAGCATGGTTTTTCAAAGGGTCGAATTTCTTTAGATGCAGTACAAAAATATTTTTTAGTCTTATTGTTATTGGTCTATTATCATGGGGAATGTCAAAATATTAAATTGCTCGGCTATACAAAAAATTGATAATACAGCCCGTTTTTTCCTCTGAACATAAGACGAGGGTGGGAGACGGTAGCGGATCTCCCCACCTATGGGAACTCGACCCCCTGCCGAAGAACACTAAAATTTTTCTAAAGGCACCTTGGGCGCTAATATATATTAATTTTGCGGGGAAAGCGTTTTTTGGCCTGTTTTTTCAAAAATTGCTTGGAAAATCTATCTGGTCGACCAAAAAAATCGACAACATTTTCCATTTTGGCCAACAAACCCTAATTTTATCTAAAGGTACCCTTGTAGCCAATATGTACTAATTCGAGCGATGAGTGTATGCCAAAAAGCTGCAAACCCAAAAACGAAGTATTTGGCTCATTTTCTAGAAAATAGGGTCATTCTAATAATTAAGGAGAAAAGCTCGAAAAACTATAGTTGATCAAATTAACGAAGATTTGAATGCGATAGTCCTGATTCCTTTTTTGCATTAACACAATTTTTGCTGACAATTCTGATGATAACCGAAAAGAGAAAAGGCCAAGAAGAAAGTTTGAGACTGACGTTCTTTTGACTTGGGCTCTGTCTGTTTCTTCTTCAGGAAGGAGTGGGGGTCGACATCTGCGTGTTCATTCGCCAGTCCCATCGTCAAGTGTGACTCCTTCTTGGCCCTCTGCTGGTCCACTGTCGATTCTCCCACAAGGTTACCGCTCTTGTTCTTCGAGACATATCTGAACGAAAGCAAAACTATATTACTATACAAACAAAGGGGAGCAAAAAACCACGTTTACAGTAATGATCTTTAAGTGGTGCTTATATATGATTTAAAAAGTTTCGATAGCGGAGGTCCTTGTAGTAAAAATGAATGATTAGAAATTTCTTTGTGGTTCACTTTATTTATAATAATGGGCGTTTTTCATGTTTAAGTATAGTGAAGGCGAGCGCGGGATAATTTTAGACCGGGTGTGTTTTTGAAAAATAATTTTCACTAGGAAAACTTTTTTGACATGTTTTTGGTCGACTAAATTAATTTTCCAAGCTCCCCTAAAGCTTGAAAAAATACAAGAGCACTGAACAAAAGACCTTTTGGAGCACTTTTCGGAAGACTTCGATCAAAAAATCAGGATTTTTTTGGAATGCGAGAACGTTTTTACAAAAAAAAAAGTTATACGGTTTTGTGATGCTCGCATGAAGTTGGTAAAAACAAAATATTATTTATGAAAATTTATTGCTAAAAACGTCTCACCTTTCAGCTTTTTCAGTCTGTCTCGCTTTTCTGGGAACGAGAGAGTAAATCGATTCCTCAGCTTGGTACCTCATTTTTTACTACTTTTGCTATATTTTACTACAAAAATCCGGTTAAAGTGGAAGCAAATTTAATTCAACGGGGATTATTTGAAATCAGCAGCAGAAACTAGCGGTGGCGTTGCTTGCTGTCGTGTTTTGGATATTATAAAAATTATTCTCAAACGCTGTGCAAAAAATGTGCACGTAGAAAGGTTTCAAAGCACGTGTTAAATTTTGATACAGTTTATACAAAAACACGTTGGTAAACATTTTATGCAAATATTACGAAAATGAAAGATTCAAAAACATTTAGTCTTCGGTTTAAAAGTTAAACGATAAATTTGGAACTGAATCATTTTTTACCCCCAAGCTTCAGAAGAGATAGCTGATAATCAGAAATTTTGAGAAGAAAAAAATATTTTTTTTCTACTGTAAATCACCATTAAAAAATAATAGTTACAAGAAACTACCAAAAAGGCTGCCAAGCAAAAATAAATTGGTTTTTTGGAATCCTCTCTAATTGGTTCAAATATTGTCCTAGAGATGAAGCTAACTTTGTCAAGTTTTCTAGTGAAATTTTGAAAATACTATGATAAAACAAAACTACCTTTCCTACCCTCCCTCATCGGATTCGAGTTGTTTCGATCGTAAATCAACCAGTTTGGTCGTCTTTGCCCAAATTCAGCTGCTTCAAACGTGCTAACTGAAAAACTGTGTACCCATGACTGCTACCTAATTTAATCAGCATTTCAAAAAACTGCTATTGTAACCAACACTAATGCGTCTTCAGACCGACTTGTTTTCAAGTCCTTGCAGAATCGGAGTGAGAAAGACAAGAATTTAGCACAACTTCTTTGACTGTTTTTGATGAGAAAGACAAAATTTAGCACAAATCTTTTGACTGTTTTTGATGAGTAAGACAAAAACTTAGCCCAAATTCTTTTTTGTTTTTGATGAGAAAGTCAAACATTTAGCACAAATTCTTTGACTGTTTTTGATGAGAAAGACACAAATTTAGCACAAATTCTTTCACTGTTTATCATCATGGAACAAAAACTTAATCGAGTAACTTTTTTATATCGATAACTTATTTTTATATGAGTAATTATTTTCTATATCGATAAGTTAACTTTATAAGAGTAATTTTTTTTCTTTATCAATAAGTTGTTTTTATAAAAGCAATTTTTCTATATCGACAAGTTAATTTTAAAAGAGTAATTTTTTTCTATATCAATAAGTTAAATTTAAAAGATTAATTTTTTCTAAATCGATAAGTTAATTGACTATCGAGTGAAGTCGATTTGAAATCAGACAAAAATTGGTCAGCACTATAATTCCTTCCTCTCACTTGCTATTGTGGTCACAACATTAAACTTAGAGCTGAATAAACTTTGACAAAAATCGGTCAACACTATAATTCCTTCCTCTCACTTGCTAATGTGGTCACAACATTCAACTTAGAGCTGAATTAACTTCAAGCAATAAACCTTAAAAATAACTTCGAGGTTTTTTTCTGGAACTACAAAATATAGCGTGTAGCGAAGGAAATTTTCCGCTTTTTTCTAATACCTGAAAAAATCTTGGTTCAGTTTGTTGACTTCCAATTTGTTCTTACGGCAATTATAAATTCTTTCATACGAGGAAAAGAATTTATAATTGCCGTAAGAACAAATTGGAAGTCAACAAACTGACCTTTCTAATTATTGAAAGGTTTTTAACTGGTCCAGCATCAAACTATCCTTGATTTTTCTAGCATTTATCAAAAACTTGAACTTTCCTGTTATATTGACGTATTTGCTAACGATTGGCATAATGCAACATATTTTTCTAGAATATATATGCTAAGCCAGTAAATTTTTATAAAATAATTGTGTACGAGACGGTCAGTAATTAAATACTTTAAATACTTTAAGACCTTCCACAGGCGTTTTTTACGAACAAGTTTTTTGAGAAAAAGAGTGGATCGTGTCTCAAAATATTTTGATAGTAAAGCTAGACACTGTTCACGAACTTCTTTTTATGGCATTATTGAGAGAATGATTTTAGTACAGGGTAATTTATACCAAAAGAACCTGCTATGAATTGTTGCGAGTCTAATCTAACAGTTTTTACAAGGGTAGGGCAAAATTTTGTTTTCGCTTTTGAAAAATCGGACGAATAAAATGAGTAAGTCTCTCACTGTCACTAAAAGACGAAGTCTCAATATCTTGCTAACTAATAATCTCCGGCCAGAAAAACTGCTAAGATTTCTCTAAAAAGGTTCGTTTAGCGTGGATTGATAAATTGAGAAAAATCTATTTCAAAGAAAACAAAACTTTACTGGAACTTTTTTTTTGTTCTACTTCTGAGCTGCGAACTTAATTTAACTGGTTGTAAGATTTTTCGAGTTTGCTCGTTTTTAAACCAGAAGGTTTAAGAGCGTTGTTGGTGTCTGATTGTGTACACTCACTTTTTGAGTTTTTTGGTTTAACACCAGAAAAGAATTTTAACTTAAGTCTTTTTTTTTGTTGAAAAAAAATTTTCAATTCCATTAAAAAATTAAAAATCGAATTTGTAAAAATACTGGCTTGAAGTTTTTAATATCAGGTATACAAAAAACTGATTGATATTGCAGACGCTATCTTTCAAATATCAAATATTTTTTGATTTGTAAAACATGTTTTTTTCCAAACTGATTTTTGTCGTCCTTAAGCAAACCTGCAGTCTCAAAAAGGATTGAAAACATGGTGGAAAATCAGTCGGGAAAAAAATTATCCAAATTGGTCCAATTTTTATACCGACTTTTCAATAAATAAATGTTCGGAGCTCGATTTCTTTCTACGGTAACTTCTTTCTACGGTAATTTTAAACTCTTTTCCGCTTTGATTGCCTATGATTACAGTAGTTTTTTAATGGTTCAGCTTCATGCTATCTTTGTTTCTTCTTGCGATTATCGAAATACTTTTTGAGAAAAACCTGCTAAATCTTCGCTGATATTTCCTTAACTTATTTTCGCGTCCGTAAGCAAAACCGAGGCAGACGTTTTGCGTTGGTATTTCTATCAACAAATATTTTTTTCAATGACGGAAAAAAACCGTTTCAAGAAGTTTGAAACGTTTCTTTGGTCCTATGTAGAAAGCTTTCACCCAAAAAAAAACGTTTCGAATTGACTATCAAGTCTCGAGACATGTTTGGAATAAAAATTACAGCAAGATATTGCAAAGTAAATTGACCCAGTTGGACCCAAAAATGTAGACCAAGAAGTAAACTCAACCTATAATTTTTGATAACGAAATAAATTGAAGGTATTATAAATCAAAATTTGAAATTCAATTCATTGGTTTTACGAGTTTATTTAATGCCGCTGATCGTCATCAGACGAGATGGTGACAAAGTTGTTCATTCATTAACAATGACGAGTAGTTGCAATGGCCGCGATCTTGGTGTGCACTTATTTTTGTTCGGAACTTCGAAAAAAGTGATAAATTATGTATGCCTGGGGTGTTTTTCATTCTGATTAGTTTCTTAAAGCAAACTTGAGAGTGAGCCGTGACTGTGGATACAGAAAATTTCCTAGAGGGTAGGTGCTTTTTGAGAGTCGCAAACTGGTCGTTTATTAGTTTGAAGAATATATCTATGATGCTCAAAGCGTATGAAAGTGTATAAGACGAACTATTATTCCGCGCACGAGTTGATCAAAAGTAGAATATAGGTGAGCGGTCATGTTGTTTGTTCATATAACGAAACCTTAATTCTTAACTATTATTAAAGGCAATACTGCAAAGCCATGTATTAGCAACAAGACTGCTCGTATATCAAGGCAAAGCCCTGAAAGTCCCGACTGCCCCTTAATGCATATCGAATAGCTTTGGTACAAAAAAAATTGAAAAACAATAAAATTTGCACAATATCAAACATCATGCGTCAAAGTTTGAGTCGCACAAAATTGTGAAGACCATTTAGCTAGCCTCAATTTAATTTGCAACAATTTCGGTCTGCGGGCTAATTTGCCACGCATAAATAATTCGCGTTATGCTTTCAGCATTGTTAATAAAAGCCTCAAAACGCTTATAATTTAGTCCAGAAGATCGGATGTAAAAAATCTTTTCAAATTTGAACTCAGGAAATTAACAACTTCACTGGTATATAAAAGTTGTTGGAAACTATTATTTCAATCGCGGACAGTTGTCTGAATAAAAAAAACACACCAAGCATAAATTTTCCGTTCTCATCGAAAGTCGGAACAATGAGTTTGCTCAAAGATAAAAAGAAAGAAAAATAGCACTTTTTCAGCTTGGAAGTTTCAAGTTTTTTTCTAGTGCATTCGATCAAGGTGACCTGAAATAAAGTGAAAAAAAAAAATTTGTACTCAAAAACAGTCCGACAGCAGATTAAGATCAGAGACCGAATGACCTTCCCTTCTCCCAAAATGCTTGCATCTAAAAGTTTTTTTTGCATCAATTTTTATTCAATTTTCAGAAAAATTTAAAAAACAATGTTCATAGTCCAAGTTTTTTTCGAGTTTCTTTATAGTAATGGAAAAAAATTTGAAAGGCATTGAAGATTCGTTTTCAATCGTCTAGAGCCTTAATTTATTTGTAAGTTATAGAAACAAGTGTGAAACGAATCATCTATGAATCTTGCCGAGCGCGTTGGTTGAAAGGAAGTTTTTGGAAACAAAAAAACCAATGCAAACCAAAAAATCTGAATAGGAATGCAGAAAATGAATGAAAATGGGCAAAATTGTCTGGAAGTTTTACGAAGGGGGTTTGTAAAAATTCGAATCACTGGGTTCAGAATGAATGGTTTTTCAAATCAGTTGAATTTATCAAAAATGCAAACCTATATTTACTCTTTTTTTATCACAAACAAAGCATAGGTAAATCGAGAAATTTTAATTTGATATATACATAGTATAGAAATTTTACCACTTCTTCAAAGTCTTAAACGATTTGTCAAATTTTTACTGGGCAATTTTTATAGCTCACAAACTGTAATTAAAAGTATTTTCTTGGTTAGTAGAAATAATCTAACGTCTTTTTCCAGGCAGTTTTAGATGGTAAAAAAAACCATTCCGACAAAAGCTTCAGTAAGAAAAACACATGGAGGTCAACTTAAATTGGTTTTTTATTTGAGTTTTTTTTGTGTGCAAAATTTGAGAAACCGACCTAAAAAAGAAAAACGTATGTTTTTATTGCTTTGTGACTAATCCAAATCTAATTCATTTGATGCTACTAATTTTCTTTTTAAGTTTCTTTTTTTTTGTCAATTCTG